CTGTATGGGAGAACATCATTGCCAATGATACATCAGATAAGGGGTTAATTTCCAAAATATATAGAGTACTCATACAACTCAACAAACGGAAGACAAAGAACCCAATTAAAAAATGGGCAGAGGAGCTGAATAGACACCTCTCCAAACAGGACATACAAATGGCCAAGAGACATATGAAGAAATGCTCAACAGCACTAATAATCAGAGAGATGCAAATTAAAACAACAATGAGGTATCACCTCACACCTGTCAGAATGGCCGCCATCAACAAATTATCAAACAACAAGTGTTAGCAAGGGTGTGGAGAAAAGGGGACTCTAGTACACTGCTGGTGGGAATGCAGACTGGTGCAGCCACTATGGAAAACAATATGGTGTTACCTCAAAAATTTAAAAATTGAACTTCCATTTGACTCAGTGATCCCACTTTTAGGAATATACCCTAAGAAGCCTGAAACACCAATCAGAAAAAATATATGTACCCCCATGTTTGTAGCAGCACTATTTACAATAGCTAAGACCTGGAAACAGCGCAAGTGTCCATCAGTAGACGAATGGATAAAAAAGCAGTGGTACATATACACAATGGAGTACTATGCAGCTGTAAGAAAGAAGATCTCTTGTTTTTTGAGACGACATGGAGGGACCTGGAAAGTGTCATCCTAAGCGAAACAAGCCAAACAGAGAAAGACAAGTATCATATGATCTCACTTATTTGTGGAATATAATGAATATAACAGTCTGAGGAATGGGGTAGTCCCAGAGACGTGGAAGTGGGGCACAGACTGACAATCCCCAGAGAAGGAAGTGGTGCGGGAGAGATAAACCACAGAATTTATATGCATGTATGCATGAACAATGGACATGGACAACAAAGCTGGGGACAGGGCAGGGAGACAGGGAGGTGTCAATGGGGGAAAAAGGAGAAACATATGTAACAAAAATTAATTAATTTAAAAAAAAAAAGAAATTAAGTCCAGCACAAGAGAAAATGATGCAGTCAAGAAAGAGTAATCCCAAAATGTATGAGGCTGCTGCCATTGTATCAATTCCATGCTGTTTTACAGGACTGTTCTTTTATATAGAAAATTACCCTCTAAAATAATGATAAAATTTATAATACATAACTGCACAAACCAGCAGCATAGTTGTTTATTATCATTATCAAGTGTTATGCACTATTGTCTGTGTTATACTTTTTATTTTACCTTTTTTTTTTTTTTTTGGTACGTGTCCCTAGCAGGAACCAAACCCGGGACTCTCTGGTCCACAGGCCGACGCTCCAACCGCTGAGCCAAACAGGCCAGGACGTATGTATCATACTTTTACATGACTGGCAGCACACTGGGTATGTTCACACCAGCATCCCCACAGACATGTGAGTAATGCCTTGCGCTATGATGTTATGGTGGCTACAACATCACTAGGTCATTGGGATTTTTCAGCTCCATTATGATCTGATGGGACCACCATGGTAGATGGCATCTGTTGTTGACCAAAAAGTCATTAAGCAGCTCATGATGCTAATTGTATTTATTGTCTTTCCAGAAAATACAAGGACCTTAGAAATTTTTCCTCCATTTTTATTCCCCAACATCTATGCTATCATGTCATTTAATTTTCTATATATTTGAAATTCTGCAGACATTATTACTATTGCTTTAAATGGTCAATATTTATTTAAATTTTTATTGATATTTTTTCTTACTTTTGTAATTTTCTTACAGCACTGGTGTTATTTTTGCAGAAGAAATATTCTTGAATTATTTTTAAGTCTGCAGAAGGTGAAATATTTCTCAGTTTTTGTTTGTCTGATGATCTCATGAGGAATATTATTCCTGGGTATAGAATAATTCTGGGTTGGCAGGGTTTTGGGGTGTTGTTTTCTTCAGCATGTTAAAGGAATCAGTCTATCATCTCTGGCTCTCATAATCGCTGTTGATTTATGAGTTTTCTTGCTAACAGCTGCTCCTCTGACAGTATTTTGTCTTTTATCTTTGCTTGTTTTTATCATATTTCTTCTATGATAATCTCTTACAGTCTTTGAACTTCTGCAGGTTCACTAGAATGTGACTAGATTTCTTTGCTGTATCCTCCTTGGGACTTGAGTAGGGCTTTTAAAATCTGTGAATTGTGTTTATATGAGTTTTTGAATGTTAGGTCTTTAAATGTTATTCTGCATCATACTGTCTCTTGTCTTCTCTTTTTCTGTTTAGCATCTTCTTACTATTTTGAATTTCTTATCCTTCGTTTTAAATGTTCACTCTTTTGTCTTTCTAGGCTTTACTTATTATAGTTGTCTTTCAGTAAGAAATTATGGATAATTTCTTCTGGTTTGACAATTTATATTTTTTCTGTGTCTAATTTGTGGATAAGGCTTATCTATTTAGTTTTTCATGTATTGTATTTTTGAGTTATAGGACTTCTATTTCATTTCTTTCAAATATGCCGTGTCTTTTTTAAATTACCTGCTGAAATGTTTAACCTTGTCTTTTATCAACTTAATAATTGAAAAGTGTTGTTTTATAATTTCTGTGTAATGATATCAATATTTGGGGCCCGTGTACTTCTGTTTGCATTATCTCTTCTTTGTGCTAATTTTTGTTCACGTTATCACAGCTTCTCACCCACCTAGTAATCTTCGATTATGTGCTGGACATAGTTTTTATAAAGTTGACTATAGTCCTGGCTGGTGTGGTTCATTGGTTAGAGTGTCCACCCCCAGACCAGCGAGTCATGGGTTCACTTCCTGTCAAGGGCATGTACCTAGGTTGCGGTTCATCCACGACACTGATCAGGGTTGTGCGTGAGGCAACCACTCGATCACATTGATGTTTCTCTCTCTCCCTCTCTTTCCCTGCCTCTCACTCTATCTGGAGTATGTGGAGATAAATGAAAAAATATCTTTGGGTGAAGATTTAAAAAAAAGCTGACTATAAAAATAATTGGAGGTTTATGGGTAATCTTCCCCCAGAGATGATTTTTGTTTTCTTCTGCCATGTGCCTCTGGGTAGCAGCAAACCAGAGTAGATGCAATGCAAGTCCAGGGATTGAAATTTGGGACATACATCAGGGCTGCATTCTGAGGTCTTTCACTCACACTTGTAGACTGTAGCTCTCAGGGGGACAAACAAAAGTGCAGGAGTGATTCTAGGCCCACCACTCCGGGCAGGCCAAAACTCTGCCTCCCTGGTCTTGAACATCATCAATATCCCTGCTTCAAGTTTTATTTACCTCTTTTGGATTGGGAAAAGCCCCTGGGGCAAAAGTGACCCCAATTTCCATAGTCACCAGTTTATCCTGGATTGCTGAGTAATTCTTTTTTTTTTTTATCCTCACCCGAGGACATTTTCCCATTTTTTTGTTCAGGTAGAGTGGGAGGGAGAGAGAGGAACAGAGAGAGAGAGAGAAACATCGACGTGAAAGGGACACATCGAGTGGCTGCCACCCGCACGACCGACCAGGGCCGGGGACAAACTGCAACCGAGGTACGCGCCCTTAGCGGGAACCGAACCCGGGTCTCTCAGGACTGCAGGTCGACGCTCTAACCGCTGAGCCAAACCAGCCAGGGCTCTGAGTAATTCTTTATAATCATGTCAGCTCCCCCTTGCCTTTGGGCTGATGCTTGTCTGGTTTGGTTTTTTTGTTAAGAGATCTGAATTCCCTACTTCACCATTGTAGGAATGATAGTCTCCACATAAAATGAATTGGATTGTAGTTTCTGCTTTATTATTTACTAGGTTTTAACCTTCATTCTTTATTTGTAGTCCATGGGCCTGTTCCCTCATATATAAAAGGAAGGATTGTGAAGAGTTGCTTGTGACCGTACGATTCAGTTTCTACTTGATTAGCACCATTTACTCTAGATCCCAGAGCAGATTTTAGGATAAGGAGCCCAAGTGAAAGAATTACAGAATGCAGTGATTATTGCTTTTGCTATTTTTTCTACAGCTAAGAGAACCTGGGATATGTTTGGTACTAGTAAGTATTTTAAGAAGACGTGGGAGGAAAGCTTCCCAGCTGTAAACTTGTTAACGTCTTTTCATGCCAAGGAGTCACCCACCACCGTCGTGGATGTCAGTAGAGTCAGGCCATGAATCCCACTACAGTCCTGTCTTTCCTGAGATGGGGTAGGAACAAGAAGACACTGACATCAGTCTGGCTAGCAGAATCTTAGGAAACTTTATTAGCCCATTTAAGTTGACTATAGTCCTGGCTGGTGTGGTTCAGTGGTTAGAGTGTCCACCCCCAGACCAGTGAGTCATGGGTTCACTTCCTGTCAAGGGCATGTACCTAGGTTGCTACAAACCTACAAAATTAGCATTTCAGAACCATGCCAAGGAGTACATTGGACAAAGGTTTATAATAATCTAAGAGCTCCCTCCCCCACATCCAACTTTGCATATAGCTGTCCCATTGCTATAACAATATGTATCTGATGATGGGAGTCACTGTATCAGAAAACACACAAGCAGCCGCGTAACAGTGCGATCTCTTCCCCACCCCCTTTTGCTTAACAGTCTCTCTTACTGCATAGTTCTTTTTGTAGTTTCTTGAAATATTTTATGATATGACACCTACTTCTCAATGCCTTGTGATCACACACAAACTACATATGAGGTAGGTTAAAGGAAGATAAAAAAGGGAAGATTAGAACTAAGTAGCTCTATAATGGTTTAAAAACAGAAGGGCTGTAATGGAATACTAATCCTGGAGAACAAAGGGTCAGAAACACTGGCCAAGGCAAATATGTCTTCATAATCCAACCCTTAATAGTCTGCTCTCCTATATTTCTTTCTTTTTTTTTTATCCTCTTCTGAGGACATTTTTGCATTCATCTTCAGATAGAGTGAGAGGGAGAAAGGAAGGAAGAGGGAGAGAGAAACATTGATGTGAGAGAGACACATCGACTGGTTGCCACCCACACGACCCCAACCGGGGCCAGGGACAAACTGCAACCAAGCTTCCGGGCCCTTAGCGGAAACCAAACCCGGGACTCTCAGGTCTGCAGGCCCACACTCTAACCACTGAGCCAAACTGGCCAAAGCTGCTCTCCTATATTTCAGTTGAGTAAGTTTTTAAGTCTCCCTTCAACAGTCAGAGCATCTCTGTAGTATGGCTTCCAGAAGTCTGTCTGTGAAACAGATTACAGCTTTATAATTTTTCCCATGTCTATCAAGAGAGTATAGCAGTTCCACAGATTACTACATTGTGAAGAATCTCTACATTTGAGTGATGCATTCAAAAACAATCACTGAAAATTTCAATATAAAAAAGGAAAATTGATACTCATTCTAAAATTCTTGGGTGTAAACAGCCAACAAAGTTGACCTTACAAAGGAAATGAAAGATTTGTTTTGAGATGATAGTTTTATATCTAAAGATATATAAAAACTATCACCATTGAAAGTAGGGGTAATGAAGCCCTGAGCTTGGTCTTGTATTTCCACAGACTCTAAGGGGAAGAAAGTCTGCCTAAGAAGAGAATGTTAGTTGAGGGGTTGTGTCGAATGAAAAAAATGAACGGATGGTCAACTACAAAATTTTTCACTGGCTTAGGCATGCAGTTGGCCACAACGCCTGCTGTGGCAGCCGCTGCCTCTGTTCCCTCCTCATTCACTTCTACAAAAGACTTGTGGACAATTTGTGATACAAAAAGATCTCTGGCTCCTGACATGCCAGACAGATCAGCCTTGCTATTAAAGAGATCCTCTACACCCAGGCGGGCCAGGGGAGAGTTGAGGTTGTAGCTGTCTTCCAGCTTGAACCTGGGCAGGTGGACATTGACTTCAGTGAGATGCAGATTCTCAGGTCTGGTCCACTCATGCAGTTTTTCCAAAGTCAGCTGTTCCTCAATCTGGAATGAGAATGGGCCAAGGAAGAGGAGAGAACAGTTTCATGTAAGTAAGGTAACAAAGCATTATTTAAAAGAAGAGACTCATAATATCAGTTGCTAATCAGTTTCCTTCTTATTTTGTGCCAAATGAGATTCTATCTGGAGGATTTCATTTCTTTTCAGCAATTGGTGATAACAGAACAGAGCTGTGTTCCAAGCCATCAAGGTCCCAAGCTACAGGGACTTTGGACATTGGCTCCATCAGTGATCCATCCTTCCACCCACCCACCCATCCATCCAGGCCGTTGAAACCCTTGCCACACTGGAGTACCAGAACAGCCACAACAGATGTTATTACTTTAACTGCTTCATTGGTGGAAGAAAATTTTAAAACTTTTCTTCTATTTATTCCACTCTATTTATTCTGAACCCTACTGATAACCGTGGTTATCTGTGAACCTCACAGTGCTGAAGAAATCTCTAATAGTTTAACTCCTAGGTAAAAATAGAAAAGGGCTTAGTTCCTCATCTAAAATTGGGTCATGGGAATAATAGTACCTACCTTACAGCATTGTTGAGAACATTAAATGAGTTAATGTATACAAAGCACTTGGCACATACTAAGTGCCACAAAAATGTCAGCTATTATCATTACTAGTGTTACTACAACTATTGGACCAGAATTGAATCATCATTCCACTTGTTCTACTGATGTTGATTATTCCTTTCATGGGGCTAGAATTTCTTTTTATAATGAGAGAAGAGACATATTTGGAAATTTAATTAAAATAATAAACACACTGATTTTAATATATACTTTATACATGCAAATGGCCAATATTGGATCTCTTCTAAGTAACAAGTGTGACTAGGGAGAACATAGAGAAAAGCCACACCGCAGCCTAGAGACACTAAAGGAAAACGATAATCTTCAAGTTTTGCCTGGTCCTAGCCTAGCAGGAAATGTCATCACCTTTCACGTAAATAAAATAGAAATGACATAAGAAGTTTATTTTACAAAACAGGCTTAGCTTTCAAGCTCATGAGTTACATGAGTCTTTTCTACCATGTATCTCTTAGAAATGTAACCCATAATCTATATGAATTACAATAAGAATGACCAGTGTAACACAGGATTTCACACAACATGAAACTATATACTATGAATGTTTTGGGGTTTTATTGGTTGTTGTTTTTTTCCTTTGTTGATTAGAGAGACAGTAATGGAGGGGGAAAGAGGGATAGAAACATCGATGAGAGAGAATATCAATTGGCCACCTCCTGCGTGCCCCACACTAGGGATTTGACCCACAACCTGGGCATATGCCCTGATCAGGAATGGAATCTGCAGCCTCTTGGGTCAATGCTCAACCACTGAACCTTGCTGGCCGGGCTAATGTTTTGGGTTTTTTAATTTAAAATTTTTTGAACAAAACACTTCTAATTTTCCTGCACTTTCCTATAAAGATTTTTTAAGGGAGTTTCCATGAGATGCCATTGACTGATGTTCAATAATATAGATCATTAGATGTCCCCACCACAACTGTGTACTGACAGGAGCTGAAAACCTAAACGTAGGGCTTCAGAGTAGCAAACATTGATGGAAGAAATCTCAAAGGGATGACACAGTTTGGGAAGGAAAGTCCAGTAACATCATGACAAAGACCTACCACAGGACATACACACAGGCAGCATCGCTGTGTCAGAAGGAACACGAGGCATGAGCCCAGGAGCCCTCACCTTCAGACCCATGGCCTCGTCCTCGATGTCATCTGGCAGCAGGATGACCATGCTGAGCTCCCCGCCTTGGTAAGGCAGCTCCAGCACACGGCACTTAAGCTCCTGGATGTAGCCATATGGAAATTCCTTCTTCTGATACATCATTTTCACTGTTTTTGTGTCTTTCTGGAAAGTTGAGAAGACAAGTCACTCACATTATTATCTGCATTCTTTAGAGCAAAGAGTAATTTCATAATTGCGACCCTCACCTTATTCAATCTGAAGGGCGCATCGGTCGTGGCCTTTTCACTGAATTTCTCCTGCCAACTTCCTTTGAAATAGATGGCATTAACCAGCACCAGTTTAGTCGTATCATCAACCACGCCTGCAGCCAGCAATTCAGGAATTTTCCCTGAAAGATAAAGCAAGCTCAAAAAAACAGCTCAATATCAGAATTCTATATTTCAGCTGACATTTGATCCGCACTAAAATGCAATTCAAATACATTTTTTTTATTTAATTTCCATTAACATGTTAAGTTAGGAAATCCCTTCTAGGATGTTTCAACTTTAAATAAACTACCAAAGGGTTTAAGGGCTAAAACAGGAAACTTCTTGCCCTGGCCAGTTTGGCTCAGCAGGTAGAGCGTCGGCCTGCGGTCCGGAGAGACCCAGGTTCGGTTCCCGCTAAGGGCACGTACTTTGGTTGCAGTTTGTCCCCGGCCCTGGTTGGTCGTGCGGGTGGCAGCCACTCGATGTGTCCCTTCACGTCGATGTTTCTCTCTCTCTCTCCCTCCCACTCTATCTGTACAAAAAATGGAAAAATATCCTCGGGTGAGGATAAAAAAAAAAACAGGAAACTTCTTTGCAGTGTGTGAGAAACAACAAGCCTACTTCAGTGAAAGGCCATTCTTTTCAGGCACAGAAGTATTCCTTAGTGAAAAGGATTCCGGGCACTAGTAAATACATCACTTGTGCGAATCCTCCAGGTGGAAGCTACTCTCACAGAAGGTGTTAACACACACGCAGCAGGTAGGACCGTGACTCCACTGCAACACGAGTCCCCCTGTGCCCACAGCGGGCGTGAAGAGCCGGGCAGGGGAGGCGGGTCAGCTGGTCCTCGGCCCTTCCTTCAGTGGGGCAGAGAGAGCTGAGGGGACCGCGGGGCACGGCCAGTCCCCCCGCCGCCCTGAGCGCGTCCACAGGGTGTGTGCCGGGTATTCCTGCCACGGCACTTTGTGCCACAAGTGTGACAATATTCTTTTCCGTGATTGGGGCCAGGCCGGGTTTTCCTCAAAGCTTTATCCTTGTGACTCCACATTCAATGTTAGGTTTAATCTTAAATTGTAGATTTGTGAACTTATGAGGAGAAAGTTCAGCTGCTTCAGCGAAACCGTGTTTCAGTTTCCACTTTGAGGAGTTTCCTCAGTGGACAGCTGTGTGGCGCTGGGCAGGGGCAGACTGACCCCAGGGCCAGGATGAGGCAGAGCAAAGGGCCGGGGGTCACCTGAAGGTGGGAAGGTGGAGGGAGGACAAGAAGGACCAGGTCAATGAGTGCGTGGGGCCCACTCTCTTACCTTCTGTCTGCCCTTTGACCCACTCGTTGATCACGCGTCTGGCTCCTTCAGAGGTGCGCTGGAAGTCCACACTCGCCAGGTCAGCGCCGTACGCCGTCCGAGTTGCAGCTAAGAACTCCTGTTTGAAAAGCAAGGAACCAAATGTCACGGATAACTCCTGCTACATGCAGAAATGTTTCCAAAATCCTTAAAAGCAACAGAAATGGCCCTGGCCGGTTTGGCTCAGCGGTTAGAGCGTCGGCCTGCGGTCCCGAGAGACCCGGGTTCGGTTCCCGCTAGGGGCATGTACCTCGGTTGCGGTTTGTCCCCGGCTCTGGTCAGTCGTGCGGGTGGCAGCCACTCGATGTGTCCCTTCACGTCGATGTTTCTCTCTCTCTCTGTTCCTCTCTCCCCCTCCTACTCTACCTGAACAAAAAATGGAAAAATGTCCTCGGGTGAGGATAAAAAAAAAAAAAAAAAAAAAGCAACAGAAATGGTGTTAAAGGCATAAATTTCAATGTAACAAAAAAGTTCTAACCCTTATACTTTTTGCATTACAGTAAAAAACATGTAACATTAAACTAACCATTGAACCACTTTTAAGGGTACAGTTCAGTAGTTTGGTGGTGTATAAAATTTACCTTTTCTTTTCTAACCTTTGACCAACATGTCCCTATATAAGTATATACTGATTATTCTTGGAACTGAATTATGAAATTCACTTTTGCTGGTCAAACAGTCAGGGTCAGTCTTTCCCTGTGAAGACTATAAAATGAAATTATATCAATTAATGGGGATACTCTCATGTTTTAATTCTATATCATTTTTCTGAATGTTTATAAAAATAAATCTGACTTCTGTGCCTTGGTGTGCTGAAAAGTGTCCTCATGGTCCAGTGAGGTTAAGAACATGAACGTGAAGTACTTACAGGGAGGAAATTGTAGCTTTTTTCTCCGTATAACCTGTTAGCAAGTTTCAGAACGTAGGGAGCTCCACGCTTGTTGATGTCCGCATTCAGACTCTGAAATCTTGAATGAATCTCCTTAACCGCATCAAAATGAAGAGTCTAAAACAAAGAAAACATTCGTGCTGTAACCACTTACTTTGAACCGGTCTCCTTGGCATTGTATCTATCAAACTAAATTAATGTGTTTTTGTTATTAATGATTGATAATTCCCATCCGTTTTATGTAATTCCCAGTACTTTATTACCTTTTCATTGGAGAAAAAAGAAAAGAGAATCCAAAGTGTATAGCTTTCTGAGACATAATATTTGCATTACAAGCGATTTTGATATCTCTTTTTGTTATATAGTTATATAAACATGAGTAGCTAATGAGCTAAATATTTACAGATGTCTGTTTTTTTCCCCTAAAGAAATGGTCATTTGTATGTTCATATGTAAATTTTGTATCAATTATAGTTCACAGGAATTTCTCAGATAAACAGAAGAATTAAGGACCTTAACTATGCGGGAACACAGAGATACTATAACGTGAGCGGTTTCAAATTCACACTATCAGCACCTGTGCCTTATTTAAAAATAAGATCTATAAATTTCACATTCGGTAAAAGTTTATTTTCCTTATTACAAATCAAGCATCCCTTTATGGATTTATGATACCTGGGCTGGTTGTTTACTTCAGCACACAAAGAACACACCACACAATGCACAAAGTCCAGTCACTCACCGAGCTGTGTCATGTTTGCACAGTTGCTATGATTCATCTACTCTAATGGAAATATGGAGGGAACCCCTAAATCTATTCTTGCTGAGGTAATACAGTCCCTGGAACAACCTCATAATAAAAGGCTGATATTACCCTACAAGGAGCAACCAATTAATAACCAGGGGTTAAAAAAATGGATGGATTTTGGAAAACTTAAAAATGCTTTCATGTCGGTAGTGATCAAAATGGTTGGTTTTCAGAAATTACAGAAATAGATGCTTTGTGGCTGGATCAGGTCGATAAGTGGAAACCAGGGCTGGGCCTTCCCCAGTTACAGGCACCAGGTAATCTGACTGGTAGGTGAGAAGACCTTCACTTTTGGGACTTCTTTCCCCTGCTTCCGAGGAAAGCCCAGTTCCCCTCTCAGAATTAAACAAAGAACACAGCACAGAAGTGCCCTCCATGCCCATTAGGGCCAGGTGGAAGGCTGGGCATAGCTTCTGCTCCTGCTGTAAGAGTGACCTGCCACACCAACCGAGGCTTGGTTCTGTCCCTGCAGATGCCACACCTCACCTGTCTCCTCTCCGTGCAGGGCCCTGCTGCCCACACAGGCACGTGGTGCCAGCCCAGGGCTCGGCCTCAGGGTACAAATCACAGGGTCACCTGTTCCCTCAAGAAGGTGACACTGCCAGCTTCTCCACTGTAAAAGTTTTCTGCCTGTACTTTGTGCTTAAAGGAACATTATATGACCGGAATTATTTATGAGTGGCGGGTCACATGCAAAGCAGAAACTGAACCGTCTTCATCCAGGAGGAGATGCTGTCAAAGGTTTGCCCACTGGAATAGAAACAGCACACGACAGGGGTTTGGGCAGCTTTCGTCACTGCTGTGTCCTCAGCCAAACTAAAAACTGTGCCCGGCACACAGCATATGCTCAATAAAAACTCAGTCATGAATGAAAGCCTCCATAAAAAGGAATTGTTCATGAGGCTTTTCTGAAAGTCTGGCCTCATAACATATGGCTGTGGGACACAGAATACGGTTTTTTAAATATCCTGTGAAAGCTCAAAGCACAACACTTTAGTGCAGACTCGCCGGGAACCAGACTACTTTGTTTCTGCTGACCTTGGACATCTGTGCGGCAGTAGCGCCTCTGGCCCCCAGAAAGACCATGGCCAGTGCGGATGAAATGCTGATGGGAGAGATGAAGATGTTTCCAGTAGGGTTCTTCTCATTCAGGGTGCGGAAGAGGTCCAGTGCAAACCGGGTGTTTGCCACACATAGCTGCTCCATGGTGAGGGCTGCAACGCAGAACAGAGGCCCATGCACCCCAGGAAATTAGGAAATGAAATTTCTCCATGTCTTTCTTATCCTGGAACTTGCATTTTCTTTTCTCATGAGCACAAAGGTGGGAACTAGATGAACACACCAAGGAGCCATCAGAAACCCAGGTGCAGGACCCAGGTATACTAACAGGGTCCGACCTGGCAGACATAGCAGCCAGGACTGGCCCTTTCCTACCAAGTTTAGGAACACACCTACTTCCCACCATTTACCTGAAATAAAAATGTTTCTATTAGAAAACCATTGCTACCTACTACTCATTAAAGCAAATTCCAGCAATGTGATTTAATTATCTCCATTTTCAAGATTCAGTTGCTATGTTTAGAAAGGTTAAGGGTACAAAGTCTCATTTCTGGAACTGGAAAGGAGAGTTTGAAAAGCCAGCACAGGTCCCAGGGTCAGATGGTGCAGCCCACCTGGAGAAGGTGACAAGCATCCTCTGTGACACGCCCTGGGGGTGAGGGTGACCAGGCCTCCACCTCAGCTCAGCAGCCCCCTTAGGAATCCTGACTCCTCTCAGAGCCTTCGTTTCCCACATACTGGCCAGGAAGAACTACTTGTGCTGTTTGCTTCTCATGTAATACATTGAATTATTACTGTTGTCCTCGGAAAGTAATCTCTAGGGTCCCTCCCTCCCTCCCTCCCTCTGCAGCAATGAGAAGCAATTCTTCTGGGGCTTCCTAGAATCTGTCACAAACAGCTGTGGGCAGAAGGGAGTTCCCGAAGGAAGGAAAACATTCCCATCTCAGGCTTCAGCTCTGGTTTCAGCCACAAAGCTCTCCCTTCCCTCCCTGGCAGGCTGGCAGTCCTGGGGCCCCGGTCGTGGGGCAGGTGAACCGGGTCGCCCCGGGGGTGTGGCTCACGGCCTTGGGCTGCGGCCCCTGAGGCTCAGGTGGGCAGCGCAGGGCACAGTCCCCGGGAACCGGCAGCTGCTGAGGTGACTCCGGGCCAAGGAGGGCCAGGGAGGTGCAGGGAGGAGGAGGCTCTCAGATCCAGGCCCTGGGCCGCCCTCCCCTGCCGGCCCGCTCAGTCCCACTTTCCTAGCGGGCCCCATGCCCGGCCTTACCCGCTGCTTGCTGCCTGGGCGGGAGCCTGAGTCTGGCACAGAGGGCAGAGCAAGGAATGTCCTATATAGTGGAGGAAGTGGAGGGCAGCTGCCCTGGCATCAGCGGGCGGGGGAAGGCAAAGGGGCGGGAGGGTCAGAAAAAGGGGCGGGGGGAAGGTATTTAGAGAAAAAAGGGGCGGGCACACAATGGACCCTCCCCCTAAGTAACGTCCTAGGCTCTGGGCATTGTCATGTAGAAGCCAGTTGAGGGTGGACTCCCTGCAGTGGCCCTCAGGAGATTTGCACCTTTTTGAATCTAGGCAACCTGACATCTCAGGCAAGGACCTGATGGCCTCGTTCTTGCCTAGCTGTGCATGACTTGAGGTGACATAATGTGTCACCTGTTATGGGGCAAACTGCCCCTTCTGAATCTTATCTAAATACTCCAAATTCTGGGTTTCTGGGATGGGGTGGGGAAAGAGCTTGTGGATAAGAAAACAGAATCAGTCTGTCAGCTGATGATCACCGGCATCAATACAACACCGACAGGAATCCCTATTTCCGGTGTGGGGAAGCAGGAGATTTTGTTCAGTCAAACAATTCAGTTGTGATACAGCACAGGGTGAGAACAGCCCTGCTGTCAACAGCTCAGTAGTGTTACAGCTCACATATAAATCAGCTGTGCAAGGTGGTCCCCTCTGGCAGCCAGCGGGCTCTGCTCCGTTCTGCTCCAGTCCAGTGTCTTCTGTTTCTTCAGGAAACACAGGCTTGCTGCAAAGGGAAAGTGGCTCCCAGAGCCAGAAAGAACCTGCCTTATGTAGTGAGGAGTCACTACTGCTTATCTCTAATTGATCCATCCTCAGGCAGAGGAAGATCTACAACCTTACAGCTTGACTGCTCCAAAAATCACTGTGCTGATTGGTCAGAATGGAGCGGCTCTGATTGGTTAGTGAAAATGCAGATGCAGTTATAGGTGCACAGCTCCAATTGCATGGGGACAGCCTCAGTCCCACTGGTTGAAATGGGATTCCAGGAACTCCTCTGCAGGGGCTGGCTCAGCTGCAGGAACACAGTGCAGGTAGGCAGTCCAGTGTGAGAGGCAAGAGATCAGTGCAGGCTTCTTTCTCCCTGAAGGGCAGTTTGTGTGAGAGGCCCTTGTGGAAAAATGACTGCTAGGCTCTAAGTATTTTGTTGTTTGTTCTCAGTTTAAAATTTGAGACCAGTCAGCCACTGGGAGCCCATTTTTTACATTTATTTATTTATTTATTCATTCATTTATTTATTTATTTTTAGTACATGCCCCTAGCAGGAACCGATTCCAGGACTCTCTAGTCCATAGGTGGATGCTCCAACCCTGGAGTCAAATTGGCCAGGGCTGGAGCCCATTTTAGCGGGTATCTTCTTTCTCGGGGTACACACTTGGAAGCCAACAAAGTGGCAAAGGCTATAGAATTGCAGGCCTGCCTTTGGAGACATTCTCTCAGATGTTACCCCCCTTTGGGCTGCTGGCCTACATCAACTGTACTGAGTCTGCCTTTTTATTCCCTTAATGTTCTGTTTTTGCATAATTGAAATTCTTTTTATTTTTATTTTTTAAGATATTGTTTTTAGAGAGAGAGGAAGAGAGAGAGAGATAGAAACATCGATGAGAAAGAACATTGATTGGCTGCCTCTTGCATGTTCCCCACTGGGGATTTGGCCCACAACCTGGGCAGGTGCCCTGACCGGGAATCAAACCACCGACTTCTTGGTACATGGGTCAACATTCAAGCACTGAGTCACACTGGCCAGGCAGTAGTGAAGTTCTTAATTTTTATTCACTTGGTTCATTTTCCATGAAAAAAGTCCCAATGCCTAGGAATACATCTAACAAAAAATTGTATGTGAGAGTGTGTGTTTGTGTAGTAACTGTTAAGAAATCACTCCCTCCCCAAGTACATGAAGATATATTCTTATATTATCTTCTAAAACCTTTATTGTTTTGCTTTCACAATACACCTTGTTTATTGTTGAAAGGATTGCAGATGTCACTTTTTTCCCCAACTGACACCAACCTCATTGCTTCACCCCCTATCTTTTTCATTTGATGCTAATTTCTTTTCCTGTGCGAATGTGTTTTAGTTAGATGTAGTCCCATTTGTTACTTTTTTCTTTTTCTCTTGATATATGCAATGTATCAGTGAAAATTCTGCTATGTCTGATACCTGAGATTTTGCTACCTATATTTTCTTCTAGGATTTTTATGGTTTCATGAGTTATATTTAAGTCTTTACCATTTTCAGTTTATTCTTGTCTATGATGTAAATTGGTGGTCTAGTTTCAATTTTGCATGTCCAATTTTTCTGACATTATTTATTGAAGAAACTGTCATACTCCATTATATGCTCTTGCCTCCTTTGTTGAATGTTAATTGTGCAAAGTAGCTTTGGTCAATTTCTTGTGTTTTGTTCTCTCTCATTGATCTATATGCCTGTTCACGTGCCAGTACTAGGAGGTTTTAATTACAGTGGCTTTGTAGTATAGTTTAATATCTAGCATTGTTGATGGATTCCAAAATGGTGGCAGAGTGAATGGAAGCTGCACAGACCATCTCCCAAGATGAAACTGGACTTACAACTAAAATGAAGACAACTCATTGGGGAAAACCAACAAAAAAGCAGCTGGAGAGGACGTGTATAACCAGGGACAGAAAGATGACACTAAATTGAGCTTAGTCGGTATTGCAAAGGCATGAGAGGACAGTCTGAGAGCCCATGAATAGCAGCTATTTCGGTTGAGAGCAGCTTCCCTTAGGGTTAAAATCCCAAGCCAGCTCCACAGCACAGAGGGCCGGGACAGAGCACTAAATTAGCTACAGCCACTCACCTTGGGCTTCAGTAGACAGAAGGCAGATAGGACTAAAACTTGTGGAGAGACTTGGGAGCTTGGCGAGCTGAGAGGGCACAGGGAGGTTTGTGCTGAATCACTCCTTTACAGGACTGTAGCTGCTCAACCAGCCCCTTCCCAGAGCCCCAGGGAGAAGCAACAGCCCCTCACTCAGGAATTTAATACCACGTGGCCAGGCCAGAGAAATGCAAATTGAGGCTCATTAACATTGAGTCTGATAGCAAGCAAGTGTTCTCCCACTGGAAATTCTCTTATACCTGAGGAATTTTTTGTTCACCTGAGGGCTACAAATCGAGGCTCATCAAGTAACTGAGACTAATAGCCTCCAGGCAAAAAGCTAGAGGACTACTGAACCTTTCCTGGGCTTACAAATCTACCCAGGAAAGTAAGACTTGACAGTGGTATTTAACGTGGGTCCTCTCACACTCATCCAAATGCAGTAGAGGGAGCTTCAACCAGAGGAACACCGACACCCACAGTGAAAATTTGGCAGGATCCAAAACCCACTGAGGCAGCCAAAATGGCGAAACAAAGAAACAAATCCCAAATATAAGAACTAGAGAACTCTACTGACAAAGAGATAAATGAAATTCAGTTAAGCAAATTATCAGAGGTAGAGTTCAGATGCTGATAATAAGGAAGTTCAACAGTACGAGTAAAGATATAGAAATATTGAAAATTACCCAATTGGAAATGAAAACCCATCAAGCAGAAATGAAGAATGACATAGCAGTAATAAAAACACATTGGAAAGAATAACCAGCAGAGTAGAGGAAGCTAAAAATTGGATCTGTGAATTAGAAGGCAGGGTACAAAAAAAATCACCCAATCAGAGAACCAAAAAGAAACAACAATTAAATAACAGGAAGACAGCTTAAGAGAACTGTGGAACAACATGAAACATTAAAACATCCACATCATAGAAGTTTCAGAAGGAGAAAAAAATGAGCAAGGGTTACAGAATATATTTGAAGAAATAGTGACAGAAAACTTCCCTAGCTTGATGAAGGAAAAGGGCATACAAGTTCAAAAAAAGCACAGAGAGCCCGAAGTAAAAAGAACCCAAAGAAGCCCACACCAAGACACATAATACTTAAAATGCCAATGACAAAGAGAAAATCCTTAAGGCAGCAAGAGAAAAGCAACAGGTTACCTACAAAGGAACCCCCATAAGGCTATCAGCTGACTTCTCAACAAAAACACTACAGGCTGGAAGGGAATGGCATGAAGTAATAAAGATAATGAAAAACAATGATCTGAACCCAAGACTACTCTATCCAGCAAGGCTATCATTCAAAATAGAAGGTGAAATAAAGAGTTTCCCAGACAAAAACAGGCTAAGGGAATATATTAGCACCAAACCAGTAATACAAAAAATGTTAAAATGACTGCTGTAAATAGTAGAAGAACTAAGACAAAAAATATAACCACAAGAAATAAAAATGGCAGTAAACAGGTACATATCAATAATAACCTTAAATGTAAATGAATTTAACACATTCAAACTATGTGAGTCTTTTGTTGTGGAGTGGGTCTCTTGTAATCAACTTATATATGAGTCATGCTTTCTTATTCAATCAGCCAATTTGTGTCTTTTGATTGAATCCAATCAGCCAATTTGTGTCTTTTGATTGAATCCAATCAAAAGACACAAATTGGCAGATTGAATAAGAAAGCATGACTCATATATAAGTTGATTACAAGAGACCCACTCCACAACAAAAGACTCACATAGTTTGAATGTGAAGAGTTGAAAAAAAAATCTTCCAAGCAAATGGAAAGGAAAAAAGAGTTGGGGTAGCAATACTCATATCCATTAAAATATACTTCAAAATGTAGGCCATAACTAGAGACAAAAGGCCACTACATAACATTGACAGGATCTATCCAACAAGAAAATATCTTTGGTAAATGTATATGAACCCAATATAGGAGCATCAAAATATATTTTAAAAATTCTGGAGGAATTCAAAGGAGAAACTGACAGCAATACAATCATCGCAGGTGACTTCAACGCCCCATTGACATCACTAGATAGATTGTGTGGAAAAAAATTAGCAAGGAAACAAAGAGGCTAAATGATGTACTAGATCAAATGAATTTAATAGATATCTGCAGAGTTATACCCCAAACCTTCAAAATTCACATTCTTCTCAACTGCAAATGGGACATTCTCAAAGATAGACCACATGTTAAGACACAAATTAAGTGTCTACAAGTTCAAGAAGATTGAAATAA